GTGGGGTCTGAGTCTCACTAGGACTTTGGAGTGACGGAGGCCCTTGCCTGGAGGTGTCCCTCTGGGGATTGGGGTGTTGTTAGCTGAGGGTGGAACAGTGAACCGATCTGGAGTTATCATAGATGTATATTAAAATGAGAAGACAGCAACCCTCACTCTGGTGACATGCCTGTGAGCCCTCACAGCCGCTCAGCGAGGGGGCAGTGAGACCTCTTCAGCCTCCTTTCAGACGAGGCCCAGAGGTAATAGTGTTTCTTGAGGACCCAAGTGGGAGGTGTGTTCCATTCCTGGACACATTCAGAAAAACCACTTAGAGAGAACAGGCTAACACTGGCCAGCCTCTTGAGTGTGGGTTCAAGATGTGCCCTCCTGTTCTATTCTCTCAAAGGGTCCTGGGAAAGAGCCTGGTCCTTTTCCATGCAGGTGACACCACACGACCAGTGCTGTGGGGCTGTGTACCTGGATGGGGTTTGGAATCTCTTTGAGAGGACGGGTTAACTAGGCCAGTGGCTCTGTGCCTTCTGGGACAAGCCGTGGTGTTGAGGCGGGTGGCCTGAGATGCCTCTCAGCCTGGCCCTGCCTGCAGACTATCAGTTGGTACGGGACCCATGAACATCTTTTAAAACATTTTATCTTAAGCTCGGGATTCAGGAAGCAAAGGCAGGGCAAATCTGTTTGAGTTTGATGCCAGCCAGAGCTACATAGTGAGGCCCTGTCTCAAGAAAGAAAAAAAAAATTCAAACAAGCAAACATCCCAAAACCCCTTTATGTGTGAGGTCAGAGGACAGCCTTGGGCATCAGTCCTCCGCTTCTACCTTGTTTGAGACAGGGTGCCTTTATTACCCAACACTGCAGAGTCCCGCTAGATGGCTCGTGAGTTTTCAGGGATTCTTTTGTCCCTCATAGGGTCTTGGGTTTGACTCATGCTACTGTGTCTGGCTTTTCCTCAGCTCCAGGGATTTCAGCCCAGGTTGTCGTACCTGCATGGCAAACACTTGACTCACTGACCTTTCTCCCCAGCCCCCCAGCGCGTGTCTTTGATGCCACATGACTGCCCGGAGGGGACACACAGATGGCAGGGGCAGGGAGGTGCTCCGGCGCAGTGAAGCCCTCAGGTTCTCCTTCCGAGGGCAGCCAGGGGTCCAGTGAAGTCTGCCTCCCTTCTCAGTCTGCCTTGCCTTTCACTGTCTCTGCCCAGCAGTGGCAGCTGGGAACTGAGAGTGCTTGAGTCTGGCAGGACAGACACCAACTGCCCCAAGGCTGGCCATCTGGACTTCTAAATTAGTCTTGTGAGACAAGACACTGATTTCCTCTCCTCTGCCCCCTTGCAAGTTCAGCTGTACGTGGTATGTGGGCTCCCGGCTGCATTCCGCCACGCAGGTGTTGCCATCTTCTATAAGATACTCAGAGTCCCACTTGCCCTTCAGCCTGTGCTCTAGGTATCCTAGCAACCCTGACCCCCACCTTCAACTCTTCGCTCCACAGTGTCCTTCTGACCCAGCTTACCCTTCTGACCCAGCCTCTCTCCCAGGGTCCTGGGTCCTTATGAACATGCCATGTGGTCCTGGAGAGATCCCTGCCCCTGGCTCAGCCCTGTTTCCTGCCTCCAGTCTGTACAGAAGCAGAGAACACACTGGAGAAGGCATGCCCCCAGTGGCTGCTGCCCTGGTTCTCGGTGTCTGCATGCGCCTGGCCCTTTGCTCTGAGACAGGTCCTCCCTGCTCCCTCCCCTAACACTTGATCTTTCGGCAAACTCCAGAAGCTGTGTTGGCCAGAGCAGTACCTGGCCCTGGGCGGGGCGGTAATCCCCGCTCCCTCTGCTGCAGTCTCCACCCCTTCCCTTTCTTGGTATGTGTGGACAGGTGTGCATGGAGGCCAGAAGTCAACTCAGGAGCTGTCCCCTTGTTGAGACTTGGTTTCTCACTGCAATCTGGGGCTTGATGATTAGGCTGGCTGACCAGCAAGTCCCAGGAGTCCGTCCAACTCTGCTTTCCCTATTCTTGGATTACAAGCACGCACTATCACATCAGGCTTCTCACATGGGTGCTGGGAATGGAACTCAGGTGTTTGTACTTATGTGGCAAGTGCTAACCAAGCCACCTTCCCGGCCCCTTCTCTGAAAGTGAAGGACACAAAGGAAACACAACACCCCGAGAACTGAACCAGCTTAAACTCTGACGTTTAACAGATGGCGATGTAGTTTGAGAGGCCCTGAGAATCCAGTAAGCAAGCATAGCCGGGGGGTCTGGAGCCCCAAGTGATCTCAAAGCGCACACTGCCAGCGCTTGGACAGTTGCATCCATCTGGGGACACACAGCAGCTGTCAGTCACCTAGTGGTTCAGCCGTGCAGAGATGAGCACAGGACAGGGAGAGTGACAAGGGGAGAGGTCTCTCAGCCAGGGGCAGTGCATGCACACCCCTAGCAGGCAGGGGCTGGCACACAGCTGTGAACAACTGGGGACCTTTGAGGGTCTCTTGGTGGAGTTTCACTTAGCCATGTCCTGGAAGGAACCTGGGTAGTACAGTCCTCTAGTCCTAGCCAGGGCACAAGGGGCTGAGCCCTGTCATTCCCTAGGTCCCTGGACCTATGTATAAGAGAAGTAAGGGAACATCTGGCAGAGAGGCTGGCTTCTTAGCATCTGGAGCAAAGGGGCTGATGGGTATTCAAGCGCTGGAGGCTCTGATGGGGTGAGGAATGCTTACTCCTCCTAAATCCCTGTGACAAAGGCAGGCCTTGGCTCCTCTTAATACTCGGGCCTTGGTGTTGAATCCATACATCACCCATGAAGACATCAAGGCCAGAGTTGCTGGTCTTTTAGAGGCCATTCACCAGCAATGGGGGCAGCCCAGTGCCCATCCCAGGAGAAGGGCCGCCTGTTTCCAGACCTGTTAGCATGGACAGAGCTTGGCTGAGAGGACAGATGCCAGTGTAGAAGCTGGCTACTTTCCCAGGCTGCAGTTCAGACACCTCCCTGGAAGCCCTCAGCCAGACTGCCAACATCCATAGACTTGGCACTTCCTTTTGGTATGCCTCCTCCCTTGGGGGGCTGTCCCCAATAAGGGAAGGGACTCTGAGCTCATCTTCAGTTTTGTGTCTAGGTGGAGGAGATGATGGGGGAGCATGAAGACAGGTACAGATACTACTTGGGGACCTCTGTGCCTGCCATGCCTTGTCAGGATCCCTGGCTCTCTGCAACTGCTGACAGGCTGCCTCCAAGTCCGCCAGCGCCCCAGCCTGTAGCCTTGGAGGGGACTGGCCTGCTCAGGTCTCTGGAGTAAAGGATCCTGGTTAAAGGGCCCAGCTTGGCCCATGCAGCCCTTGGGGGAATCCAGCAGATTGGGGACATCAGCCATGGGAGCTCCCCTAGGGTGGAGCGCAGTGGAATAAGCTAATTTTGAGCTTATAAATTCCCAGTATTATGCTTCAAAGGGACAAACCTCTAGGACTCACACCAACAGCCACTATGATAAAGAGTGACATTTGTAGAAATGGGAACTGGTGACAGCCCGCCCGGCCCTGAGGGTTTTAAATTACTACCTTGGCCCTCAGAATCCTTTGTTAGTGCTCCTCTCATCTTTCCCTGTGGTGAGCAGGAAACCTGTTTCACCAGAGTCCGGGTGTCTCCAGCTCAGGACATGGGTTGTATAGATGTCCCTGTGGCAATGCTGTATAATTTGGCTAGACAGTTGGCCTTGAGTCCCTGCCTCTTCCTGGAGGCCTACTTAATCCCCCTTCACCCACGGTCAGACCTCTGCAGCAAACGTTAGGCGTAAGGCAGCCCCCGTCCCGACTCCTGTGAGTCCTGTGAGTCTGGGTCTGGCCCTCAGGGTCACCTGTTGAATTGCTGCCCCTCCCAATGCCTTCCAGCTGTTAAGGAACACACCACACCCTCCAGGTGTGAGTGTCAAGACTCACAACAGGCCTGACTGAGATTAACAGAGACTTCAGCTCTGGGTCAAGTCCGCCAGTGGAGTGGCTATCCCCCGAGACGGCACACTCCACAGCTATGCCCTCTAAACTTGGAGCAAACACCTTGAAGCAGGGAATGAGGAACCAAAGCTGGTCTCCCTTGGGGTTCTCTCCCGGAAGCCCAGCGATGTTGAGGTCTTACCTTGGGATGGAGCCAGCTGACTTCTCCAGGGCTGAGGGGTTGGTTCTTCCCCGTGCATCGGTGGTGGCCTCCATCACGTCCCTGGCCTTGTGCTTGCTGAGCAGTGGTCATGCCAGCTCCAGAGGTAGCAGTGAGACCGCCCTGGCCTTTCAGGATTGTCCGCCCTACAGAGCTTCGTGTGGTGGAGTCAGGTGCAGGGGCTAGTCCGTTAAGACAGCAGACGGTCCTGCTGGTCCCAGACTCTGGGCCAGTGCCAGCCTACTCTCTCAGCTCCTGGCAGAACTAGACCCTGGAGAGTCACAGGCTGGCTCAGCGGTCCAGGGGATTGTATTTGTTCTTCAGCATCAGCTGCCCCTGACTTACGGGGCTCTAGTTAAAAACCACTTAAGCCTCTCACCAGAGCCTCGGGAATGTCTTGCTGATTGTCAGCCAGCTTCTCCCTGCCCCAGGGCTGCTCCGGCCTTCCTAGGTTTGGAAAGTTCTAGTTGAACAAAGAAGGGCATCCAGCCAGCAACAGGGTCTCTTTCTGACACTTCTTGTCACTCTGGTGGCCATGTTGGCAGCTGGAGGTAAACTCAGCTTAAGCAATTTTTCCATCTAAAACTTCTAAACTATACATTTACTAGAATCGTGGGAAACTTAGTGTCACAGAGTAAGCAAAAATAAAGTGACCGATTTTCTTGTCTTTTTGTATGAACAGCAGCATGTTAGGCCCTCACAGTTCTCTCTGGCTTCATGTGTGTGGCACTATGCTGTACCCTCTGTGAACTGACATCTCATATGCAGAACTAGGGATGATAGAGTGCAGGACTTGACATGCGAAGCCAGCTCTGGTTTTTGAGACTTTCTGATCCATACCCTGGCTTCTGTGGTCCAGGCTCTCCCAGATGTAGATGTAATTCTGAACGGTTTTATTAACCGTTAAAAGCCCCACAGGTCAGAGAGCAGTAGTTAAGAGCTCAGACCGCCTTCTTACCACCCGCTGCCGCTGCCTTCCTTCCCCTGAGAAAGAGACTTACTTCCCGTGTGTCTTTTGACTTTCTGTTCTGCCTTCTCATTCATTGTAAACGCAACCACATGACCTCCTCGTCACTGCCTGTCTATACAGACCTCCAGGTCTCTATGGTTGGCATTGAGATTAAAGGCGTGTGTCTCCATGCTGGCTGTATCTTTGAACACACAGACAGACATCTGCCTGTCATGTGATTGGGATTAAGGGCATGTGCTACCACTGCCAGACTTATGCTAAGTGGCTTGCTATTAGCTCTGACCCCCAGGCAACTTTATTTAGTAACATACAAATAAAATCACATTTCAGCATAAATAAAATATCACCATACCCAGACCCTGGCTTCTGTGGTCCACTGGCAGTCTAAATAGGCCAGACCTTTGCCCTCAGAATCAAGTAGGTGGGAGCTCAGCCCTTCCAGCTGCTGAGAGCTAAGGTGGGCATGATGAACAAGAGAGGCACATGGATGCCCTGAACACCTGGGAGCACTGTGGTCCAGGCAGTGTCCCCATGTCTCCTGGGTGTATCATGGTGGCACTGTCTACACGCTCATTTCCTGAACAAAGGAGGCCCTACAGACTTGATTCCAGAGCCCACACAATCCCCAGGATGGGCAGAAGAATGAGTCAGGGTGCATCTCAGTGGAAGGGGTCAGTTTCAGAAAGTCCCAGGGGTGCTCACAGTACACAGTCTCAGCTGGCCTAGAGTTTCCCAAATGCAGAGTGCAGGAAAGCGAGGCCGGGGATGACCTCACAGTGGAAAAGGAAGTCAGGACCCCACGGGCTCAGCTCCTGGGGCCTCTTAAAAGTGAGAGCTCACAGGCTCTTCCCTGGCTAGCCGGTCCTGTTTCTGCTAACTAGAGTAGAAGAGAACTCCCTGGCCACTGGTACAGGCAAGGAGAGGGAGAAATGCTGAGGAGTAGCCTTCACAGAGGCGGGTCCTCCAGGCAGAGCACGTGGCTGGATGTGCCATGCTGGGTGCCTGGGGACTGCAGCGCCCCGGGTTTCACCCAGTGCCCTTTTCTGTGCACAAGAACCTGTTGATACACTACCCACCACGCGGTCTCCCGTCCTCCACAGAGTGGCAAGTCCTAGAGACCCTGGCTTTCTTGGCCAGGTGTGTATGTTGGGCCTCCATGAAGTCCTTGACAGTGGCTTTCTTGCCTTGGAGCTGGCCGGTATTGGCTATGGCATGCACCACCTCATACTTGACCAAAGCGGGTCTGTCCCAAGGATTTTAGGGCAATTTCCTTGCCAAGCTCCTGGCCCATCATCCTCTTGTCTTTTCACCTTCAGGAGCCTGGTTCTGGAACGATGACATGGAGGACCATGAAGAGGAAGATGATGAGGACTTCCTTGCTGAGATGGCAGAGGAAGAGAACGAGCCCCCAGGGCTCTGGTCTGCTGCCTATGGTGTGGGGGACGTGCCTGGGACTTGGGGCCCTGACGACTCAGATTCGGCTCAGACTCCAGAGGGTTGGCTACCCAACCCAGGCAGCCTCGGGATCCTGGCCGAGGAGGTTGAAGCTAAACATTTTCTGTCCGGCCGGGAGCCCGGGGAGAACTTTCTGGCTCCCTGGGCGTTTCCCGCAGTGGCTGTTCCTATCGGACACCCGGAGACCACTTGCGATGTGTGCGGCAAAGTGTTCCCGCACCGGTCGCGCCTGGCCAAGCACCAGCGTTACCACGCGGCCGTCAAGCCCTTCGGCTGCGAGGAGTGTGGCAAGGGCTTTGTGTACCGTTCGCACCTGGCCATCCACCAGCGCACTCACACCGGCGAGAAGCCCTTCCCGTGCCCGGACTGCGGCAAACGCTTCGTCTACAAGTCGCACTTGGTCACACACCGGCGCATCCACACGGGCGAGCGGCCCTACCGCTGCGTCTTCTGCGGCGCGGGCTTCGGGCGGCGCTCCTACTTGGTGACCCACCAGCGCACGCACACGGGCGAGAGGCCCTACCCGTGCCTCCACTGCGGCCGGAGCTTCAGCCAGAGCTCCGCGCTCGCCCGCCACCAGGCTGTGCACACCGCGGACCGTCCTCACTGCTGCCCGGACTGCGGCCAGGCTTTCCGCCTGCGCGCTGACTTCCAGCGGCACCGGCGCGGCGGCTGCACGGAACCCAGCAGCGGCGATGGCACGGGGATGGCCCCCCACGAGATGGAGATGGCAGTCGCGTCTGTAGCCACGGCGGAGCCGGGGGAACTGGAGGCCAGGCCCGAGGAGATCGAAGAGCCTGTGCCTGGGGTGGCAGATGGAGACACCGCGGCTGAAGCCAGAGAGGACGAGGAGGTGGCAGCTGCGGCGGCAGAGGCGACTGTCCCCGACGGCAAGAAGGACCCTGAGCCAGACAGACGGTTCCGTGAGATGGGCAATGGCCTGAGCGGGGGCGAAGGGCCTTCCTCGCACCCGCTCGGCTTCCATTTCCCCATGCACCCCAAGTCTTGGCTGCATCCGGACGGGTTCCCCATACTGGGGTTCCCCGAGTTCTCCGAACGGCTGCAGGCTGATGGGCGCCATCTCTCCGCCCCGCTGGGCGCCCCGCTGACTCTGGAGGGCGCGGGGTTGGCTTGTGACCCGTTTCGCAGCGCGGGCTCCGGCGTCGGGGCGGATGGTGGCCTGCGAGCGTTCGCGCCCGCCGTC